TTTATTTCTAAAAAATGTACGTATAAAAAAAATTTTACATTTATCTTTTTTGTTCTTTATCTTAAAATTATAAAAGCGAATTTCATATATCTAAATGATTGAGAACTTTAATATTTTAACTCAATTCTTTTTATGTAACATCGACGATACTTTATTAAAAAATTCTATTCTTGAAAAAATTGAGGCTTACTAGATTTTTACATTTGTATTTTGCCGTTTCTCTGGGCAACAAGAAAGAAAATCGCAAAACAAATCGTCTCGTCATTAATCGTCCGTGTCAAACATTTCCGGTGCCAATAACGCTCGTTTATCCCACCTATTGCAAACTAGCGAGTCTTCAAAATGGTAAATATCGAAAAATATAGCTTATTCATTCGCAGATTTAGCAATTCAAAAATCATCAATCACGTTTTTTCGCATAATAAAATACTGAATGATTTAGGATCGATATGTGTTATCATAATTCGATACAGTTACAAACATTAGGAATCATAAATTCAAAATTAAAAAATATAAATAGTGAGGGATTTAGATATAGTTTGTTGTGATATTTTAAAACGGTAAAGAGTGTAGATTTGCGATAAGATACATTGATTAATCAAAATCGATAGCGCGAAGTGCTTTCGATCCATATTGGCCAAGGCGGCGTGCAAATGGGCAACGCTTGCTGGGAGCTGTATTGCTTGGAGCACGGCATACAACCTGATGGTATGCTGCCACCACAGACCTGCTCGAGCGATGAAGGCTTCCAGACCTTTTTTAGTGAAACAGGCGGTGGAAAATATGTACCTAGAGCAGTTTTCCTCGATCTCGAACCAACAGTAATAGGTAAGTTCAATTACGACGGTTAGTTGATAATTAGACTGCATCAATATATCAATATCATTACTTCTTCGTTGTCATCTTTTAGATGAGGTACGCACTGGAACATATCATCAGCTATTCCATCCCGAGCAATTGATCTCTGGCAAAGAAGACGCTGCAAACAATTATGCGCGTGGACACTACACCCTAGGCAAAGAGATTATCGACCTTGTACTGGACAGGATTCGCAAAATAGCTGACATGTGTAGTGGTCTCCAGGGTTTCCTCATCTTCCATGCGTTCGGCGGCGGTACTGGATCCGGCTTCGCTAGTCTGCTGATGGACCGACTGTCCATGGATTACGGCAAGAAAGCGAAGTTGGAGTTCGCCATATATCCATCACCGCAAATTTCCACAGCAGTTGTTGAACCCTATAACGCGATCCTGACGACTCACAGTACGCTGGAGAATTCGGATTGCGCTTTCCTCGTAGACAATGAGGCAATCTATGATATTTGCAGACGTAATCTGGATATCGAGCGACCAACTTACACAAATTTGAACCGATTAATCGGTCAGATTGTCTCTTCGATCACAGCCTCCCTGAGATTTGACGGTGCCCTCAATATCGATCTCGCCGAGTTTCAGACGAATCTCGTGCCCTATCCTAGGATACATTTTCCTCTGACAACCTATGCACCCATCGTGTCTATTGAAAAGGCTTATCATGAACAGCTGACCGTGATGGAGCTTACCTCAGCTTGCTTCGAGCCGGCCATGCAGATGGTTAAGTGCGACCCCCGAAAAGGCAAGTATATGGCCTGCTGTTTGCTGTATAGAGGCGACGTGGTACCAAAGGATGTCAACGCGTCCATCGCGACTATCAAAACCAAGAGAACGATACAGTTCGTCGACTGGTGTCCAACAGGTTTCAAGGTTTCTTTTCTAGCAATTTTTCTTTATGACATTAGCAAAAATTTTACAATAATTTATAAATTGTAGTTTCTAAAAGTTCTACTACGTGTGCTATTAACTTGGAAAGAATTTCAGAATATAAATTTCGGTTTACTTTTTTGGTTATATCTATAGTTTTCTATTTCACAATATTTCGCACCGAGCTTTTAACATCAATTCCAACATTGTATTAATTTCATTTGGATATAATAGGTAGGCATCAATTATCAACCACCAACTGTAGTACCGGGCGGTGATCTGGCGAAGGTGCAGAGAGCCATGGCCATGTTGGCAAACACCACGGCGATTGCAGAGGCGTGGGCCCGACTGAACCGAAAATTCGACCTTATGTTCAGCAAACGAGCCTTCGTTCATTGGTAAATTCATTTTTATTTCACGAAATCAGAGACTCGCATGGATTATGCCCATTCACGAATTGTAATACGTCAGGTACGTCGGCGAAAACATGGACGAGAGTGAATTTAACGAAGCCAGAGAGGATCTGGCCGCGTTAGAGAAAGATTATCAAGAAGTCGGCACGGATTCCCTGGATGTCGGTGGTGAAGAAGAAGTTTAATTACCTGTAAAAGACTCGCAGTGACAAATCGCGTGCACTAAGAACGCATGTACTTTCGTGGGATAAATGAATGGTTTTTTTTTTTTATACGGTCACCAATTTTGTAGAATTTTTACATCGTTTTATTGTCCTTTTGTATATATTTTATGTGTATTGTTTTTATTTTAGATATATGAGCTTTTGCACGTCTTTGTGATGTAATAAAAGAATCTGAACTTTAGTCCATTCTTAAATATTCTTTGATCAGAAACTTAAGGGAACTTATATAAGTTTTTAATGGAAAATTTTTAAAGGAAAATTTTGACAGAAAAGGAAAATGAAAGACAGGGCACTGCTCGTAGACATTATAGGCTTTTTATTGTGTGGAACAGCACACGGCTGCGCGAATTATATTACATATGTATAAATTTCCGTCGGCATCTTTACATTACGGTCGGAGAAATTCTCGCATGGCGCGTAAAACTTTTGTTTTTCCCCTTTTTTCGAGTGTAGTAAAGTGTGATTTAAAAATCATTAACGTTTAGGGGATTTATTCTAAAAAAATATCGTGTTCGAAAATATTGGAAATCTATAATATACGTAACACATACCATATTATTTTTGAATGTTTTCATATGCGATATTTTTTGAGAATATGGCCCCTATATACTTGTGCGTATTACTCTGATACACGAGAAATTTAAAACAGGACATTGCAAGGAAGAAATGTAGTCTGTCTTTTTCTTACAGACATACTAAGCTCTGCAAGTAATGCCAAAATTAAATAGTCGTTAGTCGCATAATCATATAATTATAATAAGGGCGATAGTAAATCAAAGTAAAAACGTAAGAGCGATGATCGAGGTGCTGTCAAGCTGACGACAGAATTAACACGACAACTAATTACGCTGATCACAACGATAACGATGATAATGATAAACATTCGTAATTATTATGAAGCAATTGTCTTACTCTATCTTTCTTCACCTCTATCGTCGCTACACCAGCGACATTTTGGAACAGTTCCTTATCTCGTCCTATCATATCAATAGAATAATAATGATCTATTGTTATATTCTTTTAATAGAATCTTGGGCGCGCCTTCGTTGGCAGACGCGCGTAATAATTTGCATATTTTCGTATCTATAAAATTTCCCGGTTTCTGTCTCTTTCCCTGTATCTACCTATTCTCCCTCTTTCGTTCACTTAGAGAAACAAAAAGCTTTTTATCTTGTTTTTTTCATTATACTTTTTGGATTGGCAGATTAAGCCTGCCACTCGCTGGACTAGAGATTTTCACTATCTTTATTGCGCATCTGTTATATATTCGCGAAGGGGAGGTCTCTTCCTCTCCTCCTCATTTCTTTCGTATTCGTTAAAAATTAACTCTTTAAAAGAGCCAGACACGTCGCCCCTTTAGCTCGAAAATAGTTTGTTGTATCAAGGGATTTCTCTGGATTGTGAAAAATTTGTCTTCCTCTCTTAGAAAAGCAAATCGTAAAATAAAACACTGACAAGTCGGCATCAACTAGCGAGGACAACTTCTTTCTCATTCATAACTGGTCGAAGAACTTGGATTTATAAAAACATTTGTAGGTAAACTTTGTCTATAGAACAATCACTCTTCGAAATGAAAAATTTTACAAGCGCGAGATGAGATATTAAACGCTCAAGACACTCTCACAGGTTAACAGGAGTTGTTCAAGTATCAATAAAGTCAGTATCATATCGTGTTTTTATCTCTTTTCACGTTCAAAGAATTAAATCGCGAATACCCGTGGAAGATAAAGCCACGCGACAGAGTTGAGAATAATTGTAATTCTTAACAGTTCTAAGCTCCGTTGTATTAAAAAATTTTAAAAAACCCTTACTGGTCGTAATCGACTTACAAGTCGATTGTACAGCGCTTCGCAACGTCTTATAAAAACGTGCGTCTGTAAAATTGCTACGTGAAGGCCAAAAATCTTTTACTAATTGTCAGGCGTATAATCAATCCGCATATCAACAATATTCGTGTTCACAGGATGTTGAAAATTCGAGCGTGATGTTATCAACAAATATTGTTAGCTAGATTGAAGCGATTGTCATCGTCAGGATTTGCCTGTACGTGAATGTCCGTTGGAGTGTCGCGAAGACCAGGTAAAATAGGTGGGAAACGTTTAAGATCTTTGGTAAAAGCCCACCTAACACGATCGGCGAAAATTACGGACGCTCAAATATTACCGTCCAAGGCAAAAATAATCACTGATGAAAAATGAACACTGTTGGACCTCGAGTCCATCATGCACTCGTCGTGGTCGGGATACGGGACGACAAAGTTTCGATCGCCCTAAAAAGGAGAGCCGGAGACGCGATTAAGCTATCCAGATATCCTAGGCGTCCGATCAGAAAGTTTGCGCTATGTAATTATACGATCCGTTAAATAATAATCATGCTACGAGATAATGACTATGTTAATTCACCAATCATCACTATAATCGGCAAATTGTAAAAATAATAGCGGTCGTGACAAACAAAGCTACTCGCGAGTAATTAAAAACAGTTACAATAAATGAACAACTAATAATACAATTAATAGTAGCGATAGAATATTAATAATAATATTATAGTAATAATAAAATAATAATTAAAGATTGGATTTACGGTAGTAAATAGTAGTAGTAGTAATAGTAAGAGTGTAGTAGTAATAGAATAGCAATAGTTCAGAGTGATAGTAGTAATTGCTAATGGTATAATGACGATTATGTCGCATGTGAAAATATCTAGGATCGATTTCTTTTTATCGATGACACAATCGCATAGTTCTCAGTCATTCACGTTTCGCTCATTTACAGATTAGCAGACAAAAAAATATCGATATACAAGCAAATTCAATCAACATTACAGCCTTTTATCGCTCTCATTCTCTCTCTCACTTTCTCCCCCTCTTTCTCTCTTTCTGTTGTTCGTATCCGGGGCAAATCATCTACGCGTTCTCGCTCGACTGATAGTGGTGGCAGTGATCGCGATTTCGAAAGCACCGCTGCTTTCTTTGTGCATGATGCGATGGTCCACCCATTAACGTGTTAATTGACAATGACGCGATTACGTTAACACGACGCAAACTGCCTTAAATATTAATTAACGGAGTTAAATATTCGATTCAGCACTTCGTAGTTCCCGAAAAGATCCCATGGGAAATGCTCGTTCTTCGATTTTATTGCCGGAACGTGCCTTGCATTTCAATAGAAAAAGAGATACGGCAGTGTGAAGGTAGCGAGTTTCGTTTCGATTTTGTGTTCGTTCGTTCCGGTAATCACGAAGGTGGGGCGAGAAGCGTGATGGCGATGAAGCGCGACGGATTCGACGCGGAAGGAAACCAAGACGACGGAAGCACGGTGGTGGACGCGGTGATGGCGGCGACGACGACGCTGGGAACCAGGAAGACGTCTGCGCACTCTTTTTTTTTATCTCTTTCGGTCACTCCCGAATTGTTCAAGATCGGTAGATACGGATGACGTCGCGGATTGGCGCCCGGCAAAGCGGGCAGTGACCGCCACCCTTGCCACGCCATTGTTGAATCGCACAGGTATAGCACATACACATGTGACCGCACATGTAGAGCACACTATCGATGCTGCGCTCGTAGCAGATGGAACACTCGCTTAGCGTCGGCTGCAGGCCCTCGCCCCATTGATGCAAATGGGACGAGGCCGCGCGCGACGACGTCAGGGTACCGTCCAGACTCTGGTAGGTCACCGGGTCGACGTACGTCGACGAGCCGGTGCTGGCCATTGTTCCAGTCAACGGTGGCGAGGATTGCCTGGAGGATCCAGGATGTGGGACTGGCGCAGGCACGGCTGCCGTCGCCGCCGCTGAGAGATGCACCGGCTGCGTCGATGGATTTCTGTGCGTCGCGGAAGCATAAATCGGCTGTGGCGTAGGCGGCGGTGGTGTCGGATAACCAGCTTGAGGCGGTAGATTCACAACGAGCACTGTTCCGCCACCCACTGCCGGTTTAAACTGTACCATCTCAGAAAATCTAGACAATTCCGTGGCGGCGTTGCTATGATTCGAAAGTTGCTGCTGTTGTTGCTGTTGCTGCTGCTGCTGCTGTTGAATGACATTGGCAGGTGAGGGATTGCTCGGACGTTGCCGGGGCGGTGAGGTTGGTCTACTGGCCAACATTCTGACACGTTGAGTGCTTCCATACGCGTCCACGAACGCCCACAGTTGAAGGCTCTGATCGACGTGCATGACGACGTTGGGCGCGCCACCATTCTTACTCATCTGCACCTCGCCGTAATGCGTAACCGTGAAGGCAATTTCATCACCTGGCTGCGGACTCGACGCCACGTCTTTGGAGACCACCCAGTATTCAGGACGATCTAACAACAGGTCGCTATCGTCCGGCAAATCTTCTGCCGTGAGCCGCGCCGGGTCGCACGAAGTCAAACCGAGGGCTAAAGCACCAACGTACATCGGCTCCGTCGAGAGAATCTGCACGACCAATCGCTCGCCCAACAGCAACGGCCGACTCGTGAACGCGTAGCCGTGACAGAATTCCGTGTCCGTGCGCGTCGCCACGCACTGCTGGTTGCTGAAGCGGATGTTCCTACCCCGAGTCCTGCGGAGAAAGAAAATGAGGAAGCGATTAACCTCGGCGGTGGCGCTCGTTCGCTTAATGACGGGTGTCTTGGGAAACCGTGAAAAGCGGACGGCAAATTAGTTCTGTGCGGCTGAACGGCGCAGTGAATGGTTGTGTGCTTCCATTGTAAATCAATGACTTTCAACTTTCGCGTTATTCTCTCAAAGAAACTATCGCGTCGAGTAATGCGAAACTTTGCTAATTCGATCAGACAACTTTAATCAGAAAGCGTAATATTGCGCAAGTGCCATTTCAAAGCCAGACACAAGTTAGTTCCAGATCATTTTCTCCGGATAATTCAATTGCGATTTAAGTCAGCGAGTACAAGAATCTTTTTCGCGACACGCATTAATTAGAGCTGAATCATGGATGAAACGCGAGTGGACGATTTACACACGCTCGATATACTCACGAGTGGAAAGGCAGAGGTGTGAAAAGGACGCCAGGGGGTTGAAACCTGAGACCGGGTAGCTCCACGTCAGGCTCGTGATGAATCGACATGTTCTGCATAGTCGGTACGATGATCCTTTCGACATCTCGACCGGCGTTGCTGGCGTCGTCCATAGCAGAGTGCCTGCTATGCTGCGCATTGTCCTCGTTGCTATGCTCGGCGCCTCTACGTATGTTGTTGAAATGCTGACGATTCGGATCAACAAATTCGATCGCGGTGCTGTTGCCGTAGACGTCGATGATCGCCCAAAGCGGGCCCCGGGTCTCAACGCCGCTGAAGAAGAGACCCTTCTCCTCCCCATTGACACCAAAGTGCACATCGCCAGCCGATGTAACGTAATAGAAGAGTACTGTATCTCTCTCCGCGAACCTTTCGGCGAGCGCTTTAGCCCAGTAGCCTGGCTTATTCGTCAAATCTGGGCACGCGTACCTCGGTAAACCGCTCCGGAGATTGATCGGGTCGTTGCTGGTAAAACCAAAACGGATCACGCCGCTCCAATTGTCGGAAATCTCCAGGAACTTCACGCAGACCTGCACCGTTTCACAGAAAAAAAACGACCATGTAGAACGCAATTCGCATGATTTATACAAGGAAGAAAAAAAGAAAAGAGAGCCACCTTGCGAAACCGTGGCAGAGGTGCCGCCGCTCGAGCGATCCTAAAATGGAGCTTTATTCGTGCGCATCTTCGGGAATTGATTAGGCTCGATTACGTTTCGTCCCACGTGTTACATCATTATAATTTTACGACTAATCCTAGATACGCCATACGTAACTGAAAACACGCTTTAACATCCAAAACGACGCACGCCCACCTGTCTTACATCAGTAACTAGTCTTCGAGTATTCGTGACAAATCTCGGAAGACCGCGATGATCCCGTGAAAATTGTTTGAATCATTCAGCGCGGCTATATACGATCTTACTCGCCTTACCTAACTACGGACAGACACGCGATAAGCCTGTTGAACGCGCAAGCATCGCCGGAGGCTCGTAACTCTCAACTTGGACGATATGCAAAACAACGACCTACGCAAAAAGTACGCTACTCTCATAGTCGCGGCAGCGATCCGTTTTAATATTCCGAGGAATGCGAACGGCGATTTCTCGAGCGTAACGAAAGACGTTGGTTTCCCACAATCGGCACCGGCGCCAGTCAGTGGATGTGTGATTGATTAAGAACCGTCGCGGAATCTTACCTTCTCGCCTACTCGCACGGGTCTGGCGCTAAAGGTGACACCTTTGCAAAAGCTCTCATGCCTTCGAGCGATCGTACCGCCATTGCATAGCCTGATATTGTCACCGTGCACGTGGTGAAACGTCAACGGTGGCAAGTTGTTGGTGCCCGCGTTCGAGGATCTGGGAGCTGAAACAGAAAACGATAACCGTCAATATCGTCCGATTACACATACGTCCGTACGTTCGTATAATATTTCAAATTATTTAGTTCGTTTTGCAGGTGCGTCGTTTCATAATCGATATTAATATCGTTGAAATATAGGAAAAAGAATGTGCAAAAATTATATAAAGCTTATTTATGCGTGTTACGTAAATTCATTTACATAAGACGCATAGATAAAAAAAAATATTTGTATAGCTATTTATGAATATTACGCGAATAATATTTATCACACATATGTATGTACCAATAATCATAAATAACATCTTTTCTTACAAGATTGCAACGATTACGAAAAATTAAGAGATTTATTTCAAGACAGATTTGTTTCAAAGTTAGTCCTGATATTCTTGATGTTTTTTCAAAGTATACTTGATTTATTTAACAAGTTTTACAAAGATACAAATTCTCGAAATATCCAATTTAGACTTTTTCGAGCTTTTGTTTTCTTGGATGGCAGAATACACTTAGGAGGAAGTCGGCTGGTATCGGACAAAAGATTATTTGAAACTTTAAACTCAGGTAGCAACATTTGTTAAGCCACTGCAAAGTCTATTTGCACATGAGAGCCGGGACCTCTCCACATTAAGAACAGAGACGATGTTGTTTAGCGGTATTGTTTAGAGTTATTGTATTTTGTTGTGTAATTATGCCGGCACAAAGTTTATTTGCAACCAGTCACATCATTTGTAAGTCGAATTTCGTTTTTAGTTTCACCCCAATATAAACAACCTTTATTATTCTTTAAATTACAGATTTAAAATTACAGGTTTTTGTTTTAAAGTGTTCGTTTCATATTATATAATCGTTTTCATTGTGGATCATGAATGGTATCAGATAACTTTTGAATAGTATCACATAAAATACGATGACAGATGACAAAATAAGGATTAGATATAGGATATCGAACAGGATTCTTTAAAAGGATCCTCTACCATCACATGCTTCTAACATTTTAAACAATTTGGCTCGACCTTTCCCTTTCAACCTACGTCAACAACATTTTAACGAGAATCTGAGGCAGGCAAATAGGAAGAAGAAAACAGATAATAGTGGAATCTACCAAAAAAACACATATACTTCTTTTTAAATATTTCTATTATATATTACTAATTTTTACAAAGAAAATGTAATAACATTTAAAAAAGGAAAATCTTGGCTATTTTTAGAAAAATATAATTACAAAGGTATTTAGATATAATGTTCTATATTATGTAAATTATGTTAATTTTTGCCATCCAAGAAAACAAAAGCTCGGAAAAAAGTTAAAATATCCGATATCGCCCGATTTTTCGTTATTAACTTCTGGAATTTCTATTTTACACAGAAATAAAATAAGCGACGTTTAATTTATATTTATCTTTTTTCTATTCGATATTAGAGTTAGCTTATGAACATTGCATCGTCCAAGGATCGCCTCGACCTTTCGACCGATTGTTTCACAGACGTGTAGGCGTTGGCTACAAAGTCGCTGGATTTCTCTTTTTCTTAAAGCACGATCGAAGGATTCGATGTAGCGTTTGTCGAAAGAACTAGGCCGTGGACATTTCTAGCATGGCCGGGAAATTCACTTGAGGTAAGATAGCTACTTCGGATAGGAAACAAAGGAGCTCTTCAGCGCAGCGCGAAGAAAAGGAGGGAGAAATTCGATCGGGGAACTCGAATGCAAAAGCACCTCTCATCAAAGCCTGTCGAGCGTTTCCACTTCGGTATTTCATAATGCAGGCTCGCCGATCTGGAATGCGGGGATGCTAAGACGTTTCCAGACAATCGGTGAAAATGGAATCGCGTCAGCTGATATTACCGTAAAGAGATCCTCGAAGAACTCAATTTTTGTTGAAATAATCAGATAGTCATCTTATTTTTGTAAATCACGCGAAGATCTTTTTTTTTAAAAAAAAAAGTATCGAATACATAAAAAGAATGATTTTTCTAAAAGATCTAAAATTTTAGATACAGAGAGAGAGAGATTTGAAAATAATTTTGTTGACAGCTCAAACTAGTTGCTAAACTATAAAAAGTGTCTTGTAATATTGTTTTTTAGTTTCCAACATAATTATTTTGTTAGTTCAACAAAATTATTTTCAAATCTCTGTATCCAGCAAAATTTTAGATGTTTCAATAAAATCCTTCCATGTTTCGTAGTTATTTTTCCATTATTACATATTATTCACAAACATTTTGAACGGTCACTCATACGCAAATAACATACTATACACAATGAATTGCATTTATCGACAAATTTTGAAAGAAATATTAATAAATTTTAGAGGAATCTTGACAACAACTCAAAAGTTTCGCGTCTTTGTTCTCGGTTTGAAAGTAAACCGGGAGTGCCGCAGCGAACCGACCGGCGCTCGCGAGAGCCTCGTTCTTACTGACTATAGCAACTATCGATATGCCAAGGCGCGTAGTCGATATTGTACGTGCGCCGGAAACCGCACGTTGCGCACCGGAAGCGGCCTCCAAGTACGGACGCCAAGTATCAAGGTACATCAGGACGATCCACTTTCTCTGTAAAACGGATGGCAGTCCGGAAACCGCCGTTACAATATACGAGGAAGGGAGTTGATTTACACCTTGGCGACTTCATTCGCGAACATGCAGTGCTTCCTCTGTGAAAGAAATAAAAATGCGGAAGAGAGAAACAATGTGCGGTTTGCCCCGAAATAATACCGGTGAGTTAATAAAAATGTATCTACTGTAAATTACATTAATCTGGTCAATAATCGAGCCAAATTATTAGTTAACAATAAGAGACAATTGTAATTAACTAAAAAACAACATCAATACAAAAAACGTATATTTCGAGAATGATTATCCGTTGGAATTAATTTTCAAGTTCACGAATAAGAGAATAAGATATTTAATTCACAACGAACTTATGTCCGCGGACTCTACAAAGCTTTACAAAATTTGCATGAAAATCCGGTATCAAATTCTATAAAAAAATGTTGTGTTCTTCCACATGTACCTACTGTATTTATATCACTAAAACCTTTATTAACAAAATTACTCACTATTGAATATAGAATTTAAACAAATTAAATTCCATTATCAGAGTGCACGTAAAGATGAATTAGATATCTATTTAGAATGTTGTATATAAAACACACTATATTAAATACAAAGCGTCATAGTGAGATAAACTAACAATATAAGAGGCATCTGTACGAGTCTTTACTCGTATTACTGAATATAAGAACAATATTAAGTGTGATCACGGAATATAATTAAAAACAACCATTCTTTTGATTGGGAAGGAACTATTATTTTAGATACCAAAAATATAATAATTATAATAATGCCTAAGATGTTTCCATATAAAAGAATGATAAACAATCAATTCTCAAAAAGACATGGAACGTTTTGACGAGAATCATATGGTTATTTACTAAATTCTCTCCAATAACAATAAATAAACGTTACGACTTAAATATATGTTTTTTTGTCTGTTTCTAGCTGATATGATGTTCATTAGAATCCGTGCGTTAATTGTTATAGCTTTATAGAAAAGTCCGTGTTTCCAATGTAATCTCGAAAATTAATTGGTTATATTCAATTGGTTTAATCGGTTATAATAATCTATCGATGAGAGTCCGAACCACCGTCAAAGATTTTTCAGCCCAAACATTCTTCTTCCAGAGTCACATCTGCTACTAATCTTCCTCTGCATGATAAGGTGAGAGAGTCGAACATTTTTCGGGATGATGCATTACATGGCTGAAAGCTTGCCGAAAGACAAGTTTTCGAATCTTTACAGCTTCCTCTTTCTTATCGTTTACTGCACAACTTATTTTTTATTTTCTCTTACTTGTGCGTATACTTTTCTAACAACAAAAATATGTGCTATCTATTCTTAAAAATCCAATCCATTGTTATACGAATAAAAAAACTGTCGCGAAGATGATAACAAATTGCGAGATATAAATTGCCCGATAAGGCAATTGATCTGTTAATGATTTGAAATCAAGCGGTGGCGGTCGTCGAGATTGACTAAATAAATGCGATTTATAGATAAAAAAAAAAGTAGTACTAGTAAAAAATTGCGGACCGTTCGGTTTCTCACGCTCCCGATAAGGCGCGTGTATTAGAAAACGCGTTTGCGCGCTAATTGTAAATTCTAATTTCTTCCCTCCTTTCGCTGTCGAGGGGAGGGGGAGACGCGGAACAGTCGTGCTTTTTCCTCTCTGTCGCTCGGCGAGACCGTTATTACACGGTGCAATTATGTAAAAAGTAAATGCGCGAGGTTTCCAGGATTTTACGGGAGCCGGGTCGTTGCGAGACGCTGCGAGGTCACTACGACCGCGAACGAGACGATTGCGTGCTCCGTCGTAATTTCGAGTCACGTCTCCCGTTTCGCTTGTTTCCTCGCGTAGTTTTCGGCCGGTCACCCGAAAGGAGCTGTCCACTGTGAGGCAACATTGCGAAATCCGGAATTGCTCAGACAGAGTCGTTCCTGGAACGTCGCGTATTATCCCGTTGATCATCGGCGGTTACAAGCTTTATTACGCCGTCGTATGCTAATAAAAAAAAGGATCGGAATACATAAGTCGAGTGATAATGAAGCGCTATTCGTTTGAACATTATTAAGACACATATGAAGGTTTTTTCTGTTGGTCGGTCTTATTCCTTGAATTAGATTCTCCGAGATTTGATTTCGCAACGAGGAAGCCTATAGATGTCCATTCATTTTTATATAACGCGGAAAGAACGATTTTACTGAAGTATTTAAAAATTTAGCTAGATACAGATCTGAAAATAATTTTCTTTGGACCATTAAAATAATCAAGTATTATAGAAATTTTAAATATGATTAGTGATATTGTAAACAATTTTGACATTCTAGCAACCAGCTTAAGCGTTCTACATAATTATTATATCTTGATGATCCAACAAAATTATTTTTAGATCTATATTTAGCTAAATTTTTAAATACTTCAGCAAAATCGTTCTTTCCGTGAAGC